AGGAAGGGCCCCAAAGCTGCTCCAGAGCTGTAACCCCCCAGCACTGCCTCTGAGAGCGAGCTGCACTCCTTGGAGCAGGGCAGGCACTTGAGCACTGGGACACCAGGTTTTCAGCACAGAGCCCTCGCTCCTCTTTCCAAGTCATTTTAAATTTCAGACAGAGATTCCAAGAACAGCAAAGCCTCACAGAATAACCAGAACAACACTGGGCAGCTTGACTGACAAGCTGAAGTGCCCCAACTACCAAAGCCATTCCAGAGAGAGGACTGAATTACTTCTGGGGAGCTGAACAGCCCCGGACTATTTCTCTGTCTGTTAAATGCTCTTTGTTTTGGGGCACTTCACCCTCCAGTCAATCCAGAGCAGCAGTTCCTAGAACACAGTAGCCTATTTCTTTCTCTAGATACAGACAGTCATTCTACAAACAGCTGAAGATAAAAGAGCTCAAAACCAGAAGCAGACTCAGGAATACAGAACAGGACTATAACCAGGGGTCTTTTTATTCATCTACAGCCTATTTCAAACTACCTCTTAAAACCAAACTTATTGCTAGTCCTTGCTCCTTGTACCTGATGCTACAGAACATTACCACAGCCCTCAAAACCCCAAATTAGCTTCCCTCCCACAACTATATCCCAATCTTTCCTCAGCAATATTATCACAACCTCACGCTGTCACTCCTTCTCTGAGAATTTTTCATCCTCTCCCATTCCATCAATCCCCATTAAAAAAAAGCCCAGATTGTGGTAAATTGCCTTTTTTCACAGCACTCCTCATTCCTGGCTTCAGTTTTCCTTACTCAGAGATAACACTTTTCATGCACTGAGGACAAACTACCATTGCTGAAGCAACAAGTTCCCATTCCTGCTCTGCAATTTTGAAGTCTGTCAAATATAAATATCAAACTGCACTTGACAGATGTAACACACTGAGAACCAAACACTGAAAGCATTCCTGAACAAGGGATTTGGCCTGGTTTGGCTCAAAAACAGGGAACATGAAGCAAGTGCCAGGTTATTAACAAAGCAGCACAGAGTGGTTAAGCATCAGACTTCAAAATTAAGGCAGTAACCAGCACCCACAGCAAATATTCAGGTTCTTCTTTCAGAGACATTTTGGGCATAAAATAGTTAAACAACTTGTGAAAGATGACCAGTGATTACTCAGGTTTAAAGCTGACAACTTAAGTTCCTGGCTCCCAGCCTTGGACCTGGACTATCAGACTTTTACATATCTTTGAATTACACCTGAAAGAACATTTAGATACAGCAGCTTGACTCTCTTCCTTCTGCCAAGCAATTAAACAAATGTGACTTAATTTGTTCTGAAGTACAAACTCACTCCATTAAGCAAGTGTCTAGTTTAGAGACAGTTTAAACTCACAATCCTTAGTTGTTCCCAACTGCAGTTGCTACTGTGCCACATCCTGGAGAGCAGCACAAGAGTAAAACCAACAAAACTGCTGCTGAAAATCTTTGTAATCCTTTGCTGTAATCATTCCCATAAAGGAAACTTGGACTAAGAAAACAGTGGAGTACTTCTGGACAATTAAGTCTTCCTTGCACTGAAACTGTGATGGCACAAAAGAAAGAAATCTGTGTATTAAAGACACTTCTGATAAACTGATTATTGAACTCATCACCAACAATCACTCCGTGTTCTCCACTGGAGAAGTCCTGTCTGATCCTGTGTCCTGGCTCTGGATTCTCCAGAGCACACGGAACAAGCTGAACACAGATACATTGTAGGACTGGGCTTCAGCAAGACAAATACGAAATTAAAAAGGGAGGAAAATGATTTCAGAAACAGAGGCAGCACAAACTCCAACCTCTGCCCTCCTACAATGGGTTGTTAAATCACAAAAAGGCAAACTCCTGCCACCAGTCAAAATTAAGGACCCCACTTATAACGAAGCTGGCACTGAGATTTCAATTTATAACCTGATTTCTGTGCTTAACTGTGACCTGATAGAGCCAGGCCACAGCTAAGAGCCGAGGATAAATTCCACACATACCAAGGGAAGAGAGGCTGGTTCTGCTCCTCACATTCACACTCCTCATTAGAAAAGCTGTGCCACAGCAGTGACCCAGGCAGGCCCCAGACACGGCTCCACTGCCATCTTTCCCCAAGCTTTAGTTACAGTTTTTCCTCCTTTCCCTTAGGTGTCACATCCATCCATCACAGAGGGCTGGGAAAGCCAGAAAATTAAAAACTCTGTATCAGAGTTCGTGTTTCAGCCACCAAAGCCATCAAATATTGACTTTGTAACAGCCAACCACTCTGGCCTAAGTATCCCCAGAATTACAGGTTAGCCATGTGATGTGAGGGCTGCAGGTCAGAGCTGACCTTAAATACCCCAGGAGTTACACAGCAGCATTCTTGACAAGCTTTTACAGCTGCTGCCACTCTCACTGGATTAAAAGTGTTACTCTGCAAAATGTTATTCCCCATTGGCCTGTTTTATAGACGACACCATGGAGAAACCACTGGCTTTGCATCCTACTGACTAATGCCATGAAATATTGCAGTTTTCCTGGTTAACTCTGCCTTTAGCTTAGTTTAAGCCACTCTCCAGTGTAAAGGTTGCAACACTGATTTCCCAAGGGGAAGAGAACAGAAAGCGAAACTCCCATTTCTTCTGGGTTTGTTTTCAGCGAAGTTTCAGCTCGGGTTTGTTTTCAGTGAAGTTGCAGCATTCTGGGGTTTAAAATCTGAGCTCCAAAGCCATCCCAAACCCCAGAACTACACACCCTGGTGCTCCCAGACCCAAATTGGTACCGTCCTCACCACAGACACGACTGGAGTGCAGACCTGTTCAGTGGCAGACCACAGTGGTTAAACAGTCATTAGAGTTTGAGACAGACACATTTCCTTCAGCTTTCACCCCGGGGATGCCACAAGAAAGCAGATGGAAAGGCAGGGAGGGAAAAGAGGTCCTCAACCTGCCCTTGGATCCACCATCAACTCGGGTATTCCAAAGGAGCAGAAGCTGCTGCTCCAATTTGTACAAGAACACACACGGCTCTGTGTCATAAAAGTGAACCCTAAAGCCAGAAATACAGCCAATAAAAGGAAAAATGCAACCAGCTTGATGCATTTTGAACCTTTCCAACAGACACTATGAAGTATAACAACTCAAAAGAGCTGCTTTCAACAACTTCCAGGGTGGATTGTGGGAGCCAAATCCACAGGAAGAGGAGAGAATGTCAACAAATTAATCACAACCAAATATAACACCAATAATACAATAATACTTGGGACCTCTCTCCAGGCCAGTTTGAGAAGGTCTTGCAGTTTATTAAGGTTTGTATCTTAAGGCTCATCCTAAGTCAGGTATGATGACAACAAACCAAAACTGCTCTTTGGGTCACAAACTCCCAAGGCTACATGGGGCATAAAATCCAAAGTGGACCTTCTCCCCAGGGTTTGGAAGCCAAGCTGCCTGCCTGCCACTGAGGCTCCTGAATTCCTTCCAAGGCCTCCCTGAACCCCACCCCTGTGACTCCAGCAGTCCCAGAGCAGCTCCCAACCTGTCAGGAGGCACAAGGCTGGTGGGGCACCTTTCGTAACAACAAGTGCAACCCTCCAGAACAGTTCAGGAAGTTCAGGACAGGTTCTTTCCTCACTTCTGCATTCCCTGGGAAAGCCACTTCTCTGTACAGAACTTCATTGCTGTTACATGCATGTCAACATGTCTATTTTAACAAAGAATGACGTGCAAGCTCCCGCCACGCAACCACAACTTCTTCAATATTTCTATTTAATTAAGGATTTAGTTTGATATGTAAATAAAAACAAAGGTTACAGAATTTAAAGTTTGACGAGAAAAAACTACACCACATTTAAGAGTAGTTTTGAGTTCAAGCTTTAAAAACTACTTCCTGAAGGATTTAAAATTAAATTGGGAGTTGTTACAGCTTTCTTGTTTCCAAAAAAGCCATCTTTCATCTTGCAAACGACAGCAGCCTTTGACAGTGCATTGTTTGCCACATGCTGCAACTCATAAATAAAAACAAGGCACTCATGTTTATACTGGTCTTTTTTTTTTGGCCTTTGGAAGCTAATTTGAACCACATGTCAAATGGGGAAATAATGGAAACTGTAGTTACTGCTTTTCTAAATATAACATTAATCTCACTTGTAAGTCAGAGCATCCAAGATATGTAAAAAAAGAAAAAAAAAACAACCAGGAATTACATAAGTGACAAGGCCAACTGCTTGCAAAAGAAACATTTTAACTCATGGTCTCACGGGCTGCCTCGTGCAAACAAGACTTTGTGGCCACAGAAATTCCCAAGTCAGAGGGACTTCCCTCAAAAAAAAAATCAGAGAGGAGATTTTGCTCTCCAGCACAGAGAAAAGGACCATTCCTCTGACACTCCCAAATCCAAGGAAAAGCAGATAAGCAGCACAGTTTTTGCAGGGACAATCAGAGGCAGCCATCTTAGTGGAAGATGACACTTGTCACTGCCAGCTCCAAAAAGTTTTAGGCAATCTCCAGTATCATTTCAAACTCAAACCCGCTCTTTCTGCAATAGGTAAGCACACAAGAATATTCAGATTTATTCCTCTCCTGGTTAATAGAGGCTGGAAAGATTGGGAAAATTACTTTATCTAGTACTTAGATCTTCAAAGAGAACAATTATTAATTAATTCTCACAACACCTCCCTGTGGAATGCGAGTATCACATTCCCCATTTTGCAGATTAGGAAAAAAACACAAACCAAGAGCTGAGTGGCAGAAAAATCTTAACCATCTTGGAAAAGAATTCCAGCAAAAATAGTTAGGAAGCCTGAGCTTTTTTTACAAGTGTGTAGAACAGGACTCTCAAAGCACAGTTTAATCCTGACTGTGGGTATGGGAATGCAGATTAAGTGTCTGTTTGCTTTGCTCAAGTCGAATACAGCAGCACTGGGGTATTTTACTGCTTGCACCCATATGCTGAACTACTGCTGAAGTAGTTAAAAAGTCAGAAAACAGCAGAAAACATCGCTCTTACCTTCTGCTACATCATCATCTACAGCGCCTTTCACCTGAGAAAAACACCACTGAATGTCATTTCCTCCTCCAGCTCCTGAAAAACAAAAAAAGAAAGGAACAATTGAAGAGCTGAGCCCCCCCAGCGCAGCCCCGGCGCACACAATGGTTGCAGAGCACATTTGGGAGCCTGAGCACGCCCACTTCCTCAGCAGAGCCCAGGCACAATCACAACCGCCCTCCCCACCTTTTTCCTCTGGATCTTGTTTTTGTCAGCCTTCAATGCAAGGGTTTGTGGAAAACAGGGAAGCACAAGCAGTGTGAAAGCTCCTCTCACCAAAAGCTCGCTGAGCGGAGAACCATCAACTCGGAATTTAAAATGCACGGATTTCACAGGAACCCTCCTCCTACTTTAGCAGAACCCTCTAAACACACACACACACACAGAGCTTTAAATATAAACCAAACAACTTTAAATATAAATTATCAGAGCCGCACATTTTCGGAAAACTCCAACCTCCCCTCCAACACAAAACCCGAGCACACGATTCATTTCCTCCTCTCACTGAACCTACAGGCTAAAGGCTAAAGAAAAAGAATTTTACCACAGTTTTAGAGTCTCTTCGCAGAGGTAACGAAAGCAATTAGCAGCCTGGGAAAAAGAATAATTAAAAAATAAAAAAATAATAATAAAAAAAAAAAAGGGCAGCAAATCCGAGCAGAAAAGCAAACAAGCAATCGGATGAGAACAAGTTCTACTACCATAGAAAACGGATCGGAGAGAAAACTTCAGGAACATTACTGCCTCGGCGGAAGGCAGTGATTCATTTGAACCCTGCCACCAAAACACACGCCAGAATCACCACCCATTTCTTTTGCATTTCGTTCTGAGCAAATCACTGCAGGGCTGAGGACATACAGGAAGAGACAGAAATGGGCTTGTCTCGCTCGGCTGTTTTTTTTTTTTTTTTGCCCTTTTTTTTTTTTTCCTTCTTCCCCCACCCGAAAGCCGCTGTCAAAATGGAACTTTTTCCTGCACACAACTCGAACCGGCTGAGCAACAGATGGCATTTCCACATTAATCCAGGGCTCTGGGAGGGCTTTGGGGATAACAAAGAATACAGGAGAGACTTCTTCCTAAGTTCAGAGGGGGGGGGAAAAAAGAAGTAAACGAGAAGGAAATCAGAAGCCCAAAAATAATCTTTACAGAAAAGACCAAGTCTCTCAGAATGAGAAGTGCTGGAATAGAAGGTGCAGTTTGCAATTTTTTTGCTTGCCTTAAATTCTTCCCTGAAGGATTACAGGTGCATAACCCGAGAAGGTGAAGGCAAGTAACAGCACCCATTTATGCAGGAAATGGCAAAACGCCTTTTTTTTTTTTCTTTTAGCTCTACAATTCCCCCCCAAAAAAATCCTACAGCCCATTTCCTTTCCTCCCCCCCAACCTCTTCGTTTGTCATTCAGCAGCTGGCACCATGGAAGCACTTAAAGGGGACAGCTTGGAAGGAAAAAAAAAAAAATCACTGCTCCTGCTACTTCAGGCTGAAATTCTCTTTTCCATACAATTTACTTGAACCAAGTTGGCACTTCCCCCCCCCTCTCCCCGCGACTAAATCGGCAAGAGGAGGGTGGAGCATGTGCATATGGTGTAGGGGGGAAAGGCAAAGCACAAACCTCCCAGAGCCTCCCATGCTCTGCTCCTCCACATGCCAAGCGCTGAAAAGACAATTCATGTGCAGAGGAGGGGGATGAATATATCTCCAAATGAAGGAATCGCGAGGAAAAAAGTAAAGAGGGAAGAAATACCTCCTGCATCCACACTTCTAGCTACCAACAGCGCTTCGGGATGCAAAATGGGGAGCGAGCACGGGGAGGAATGAGGAAAAAAAAACAACACCACAGGAGACCTGTGTTACTTAATTACACCCTGTACCCAATTTTAGTCGCGTTTGCAGATGCTCAGAGGGTGCGACTGTCCCTGGCCACCGCCTGCACCTGGAAGCTCCCCGTGCACAGCAGCACAGCCCCGAAAACTGGGGAATAAACCCCAACAGCAGCCCCAAAGCCCGGAGGGGGAAACTACTTACAGGAGCGTGTAGTGACAGGGCACGGGGGAACGGGTTCGAATGGAAAGGGGGCAGGGTTAGATGGGATACGGGGGAGGAATTCTGCCCCGTGAGGGCGGGCAGGCCCTGGCACGGGTTGCCCAGCGAGGCTGGGGCTGCCCCTGGATCCCTGGAAGTGTCCAAGGCCAGGCTGGAGCGACCTGGGCTGGTGGAAGGTGTCCCTGCCCACGGCGGGGAACTGGAGGTGCTTCCAGGTCCCTTCCAACCCGAACCATTCCAGTGACTCCGCGCACAGACCCACCCTGCCCGCGAGCTCCTCAACTCCAAAAAACACACCGCTTCCCCCTCCCACCTTGCTCCTTCCATGCCTTTTTTTTATTTTTTCTCCCCCCACCCCTCCGCCAGACGGGAGGGGTGGGTGGGAGCAAAAGCACGAATTCCCAGAAAGGAGCGTTATTAAAAAAAAATAAATAAAAAAGAAAAAAAAAAGAAGAATAAACCAGCAGGAAGGCGCAGGCAGGAAGGGGAGAGGAGGGAGGCAGCGGGGCGAGCCCCCCCGAGCCATGGGGGGCCGGGCTGCCCTTACCTGCCATGTTGTGCTGGCGATAGCGGCGGCGGCGGGGCCGGGCGGCGCGGGCGGTGCCGGCGGGGCGGGCGGCGCGGGGCGGGCGGCGGCGGCGGGCGGCGATGGCGGCGGATGGAGGAGGAGGAGGAGGAGGCGGAGGAGGAGGAGGCGGCGGCAGCGGCGCGGCCGCGGCGGGGCTGGGGCGGCCCCGCTCCGGCCCCCCCGGCGAGGAGCGTCCAAAATGGCGCCGGCCGAGCTCCGGGTGACGTCAGCGCAGGGCGGGAACCGAGCCGCCCTCATGAGGGAGGGCGGCGCCGCCATGGCCCCCCGACCGCCCCCTCCCGACCGCCCCTCATGGCGGCGAGGCCGCCCCTCGCAGCGCCGGGGTTTGCCCGCCGCCCCTCCGCGCTCACGTGTCCGGGAGCCGCTGCCCCGGGGAGCCGCTGTCTTCCGGGGAGCCCTGTCCCCCCGGGTGCACCACCCTTCACGGAGTACCCCGGCCTGGAAGGGACCCATCGGGATCACGGAACATTCCGACTTGGGGCTGGGCGATCCTTGTGGGTCCCTCCCAACTCCTGGCCCTGTACAGGACAACGCAAAGAGTCCCCCCAGTCCCCAAATCTCAGCACCTGAAAACACTGTCCAAGCACTCGCTGACCTCTAGGACTATGGAATATCCTCAGCTGGAAGGGACCCACAAGGATCATCCAGTCCCTACTCCTGGCCCTGCATGGGACGGTGCCAAAAGTCTTCCCTCGTCCCAGCCTCTGAGAATACCATCCAAGCACTCCCTGACCTCCAGAATCATGGAATATCCTAAGCTGGAAGGGACCCATCAGGATCACAGAACATTCTCATTTGGGAGAGACACACAAGGATCATCCAGTCCCAACTCCTGGCCCTGCACGGGACAACTCCAAAAGTCCCTGCAGTCCCCAAATCTCAACACCTGAGAACACTGTCTGAGCACTCCCTGATCTCCAGGATTACGGAATATCCTGATCTGGAAGGGACCCACAGGGATCATCCAGTGCAACTCCTGGCCCTGCACAGACCATCCAACAATCCCACCCTGTCCCTGAGAGCGTTGTCCAAACGCTCCTTGAGCTCTGGCAGCTTTGGGGCCATGACCAGTTCCCTTGGGAACCTGTTCCACCATCAAAGGATGAAACACCTTTTCCCAATACATCCTATCACTCAAGTATCTCCCCTTCATGTCCTTCAGGGGATCTCCCCCTCGCTTGTCCTTTGCTTTCGGAATTTTTTCCCCCCTTCCTCGCTCCCTCCTCCTGCCTTCCCCTCGTGCAGCAGTAGCCACAGAACCTGTTTGCTGCACATTTTCCACCCCCTTGGATGCTTTCCACGGCGTCCGAGGCTCGGGCTCTGATTTCACTCTGTTCTCATTGCTATTCCCTGCATACACCAGCCGTGCTCCTGAGCCATTTTTAGCCTCCATCCACCTTTCACACTGACAGCCAGCAAGATCCACAAAGAAAGGCTTCCAGCCGAGCCCAGCTTGGCACAGCTCCCGCTGGCTCGGGAAGGATGGAGGCTCCTTTTTAGCTCGCCGGGTCCCAGTTACAGTCTCAGCTGTACTTAAACTACAGGACTCGGATAATTGATTCAGTACAATCTATTTAAGATCTTGTGAAAGTCATCAGTTTTCCTGCACAGATGTTTGTGCAAACGTTTTCTTTCTTCTCGGGCTGGGTAGAGCTTGCTAATCCAGATTTCACTTGGAGATTCATGAGCTCATCCTGCAAACCCAGCACTGCCGCAAACTCCTTGGAACGAGCCTCCCAAGCCCTCACGTACGCCAATTTTGCATTTCCAGCTCAAAACACCTAAGAGGCTGCTTTTATAAATGAGAGACCATTGAATTGCTGGTCAAGTCCGGCACAAAACACAGAGCTGTGGGAACTGGGCACTGCTGAAAACACAAACACGCTGCCAGGCTCCCACCAGAAACCCACAACTGGCCCAAATTACAGGCTGCTTTGGAAAAACGCTGATTTGTCACTACATCCCTGATAAAAAAATGGCACACACAGAAGAAATCAAACTTGGAAACAACAATAACGTTTGAAAAAGCACTGACATACGAGGGGTGTTCCTAAGGGCTGTAACTCACCTAAGTTTGGGAATCTCTGGAACCAAGTGTTTTGTTTAGTCTGTTTTGAGAAGGAGCCAAAAATCTAAAAAACAAACACACTGCAAGTTTGAAAACAGTCACAATGAAAACAAACTGGTTTTGAATCACTACAGCACTAAGGGCCTCGACACCCAGGGCCGTGTTCCCCAGAGCTCAAAACCAAATTCACTCAATTCTACGAATTTCTGGCCATGTTTAGTTGATACCGAATTCAGAATGAAAGCTGGCATTGTTCCTTTTAGAATTCCTTAAAAACATTCTTTTCAACCTAAACAGAGTTCTTCTGCAACCGTTTAGCAGGAAATTTTGCATGTTTAGTCCAATTCATCCATTGCCTTCTGTATAATTCCTGCAGAATTTGCCCTCGTAGGAGAATGAGCATTGGTTCAAGAACTTTTCTTGCTAAAAAAAAAAAAATAAAAAAGGCAGAGACCTGCAATTAGCTCTGTAATATAAATTAATGAAGCTTTAGTACATACCTTATAATTAAAATAAAATCCCTCTTAGAAAAGATTTAATATCATGGTGCCAGGACGATGGATCACGACTGCAACATTTCAGGTTTTTGTTGTGAACTAACTGAGCTGCAGAATATAATGGAGTCTAATAAATAAATAACATTAAATCACAGCCCTGGTAATTAGTAAAACATCTCAGGAACCACAGCCTTCGCTTGGGTGTTCACTTGCTCGTTAATTCAGACAACACAGGTATTCACACCAGTATGAATGGTTGGTGTAAATTAGGCAGAGGGTGTTTTGCAGCTCTGATTCAAAGTTTGTCAGCACATACTTTGATTTCACCGGAGTTCGAGCATTTGCTCAGGTGCTCTGGGGGGATAGTAACTGTATTATGTTAAATTTATACACAACCACCCACAGCACAAAGCTTTAATGAGCATTTATCTACTCCAATCATGCTGCAATTACTAATCCTTACTCTGCACACAAACCCCCTTCAGCTCAGACTAAAGACCTCCAGGAAATGGGAGGGACTTACAGGAACAAGGACCCACAAAAAAGCATTTCTGGTTGTATTTGTTGTAAAATTTGTCAGTGGACTACATACAGAGGGGTCGGTTCACAGCAGCCTAAATCGTGAGCTGTGGAAGTTAGAAAAGCCTAAAAAATCAAAATGTAAAATGTGAGTGGCAGCCAATAAAAATATACATTAATGTCCAAGGACTGATCAAACAACTAAGGCTCCAAAGAAGAACTTTTATCAGCAACTCATTTTGTGTCTGCTTTAGTTTCCCAGTAATTTGACCTGTTAGACAAGACTATAATGAATTATAACAATTCGGTTTAGAAATAAAGGGAGCAATTATCACCAAAATTATCGCTGGAATTTAGTCATGGCTGAGCCATCTGAGGTCACATGCAGGTTAACATCAGGGCAATGTAATTCCCTGCAGCAGTCCCTTCATTCTATCCAGCTTCAAGTGGCTCAGTAAGAGCTTTCTATGGCATTTTGGCACAGAATTTCACAGAATAACAGCCTTAACTCCTGGGAAGTGTTTGTTAATATTCACCCCCTGTTCCCCCCCTCTTAATTTCACATAAACAGCCATTATCCAACCAGGTTCCACCTGCAAAGCCCCAGCTGCCAGTGGCCAGAGATCTTCAGCTAAAGCCAAGGTTTAAACAAAGGTTTAAACATCTCCAGTTCCTGCCTCCCTATCCTAAACTTGAACACTATAAAGATATTTATTGTGCCCTGTTCCACCAGGGCAGTTCCAAAGTCACTGGGGTTTATTTTTTTGGAAAGGGAAAAATGAAAGTTTCTTGCAGTTCCCAGCATCTGCACTGTTGGGGAAATCGTGGAGTGGTTTGGGTTGGAAGAGACCTTAAAGATTATTCAGTTCTGCTGCCATGGGCAGGGACACACAGCATGAAAAATCACCCTCCCTGATCAATCACTGGGCAGTTTAATTGAAGTATTATCAATGATAAAAAGCAGAAGAGGATGACATGCAACTTTTAGTTCGCTTTACAGGTGCCAGTAATTTCCAGAGAGCCATTTCCCGAAGAAAACAACCTAAAAAAGTTACTATCCAGTGGTTCTGGAACCCAGTGCCCCAAACTACCCATCGCTGAGCAAACCTGGGCAATGGAAGTTCACTAATCCTGGTAAACAAGCAGCTTGTGTCATCCCAAAAGTGTAAAGTTCATTGGATTAAAGCTCTGCTGTTACAAGGGGAAGCCTCAGCATTATTTTTTTTTTTTTTCAGAAATTATTAAGGCTTTTTTTCTTAACTTTAGCCTTGTGCAAGCAAACAGAAGAGCTAATTAAGCTTGGAAAGAATTTCAGGTGTTCATTAAAGCAGTAGTTTGCAAGACAGGTTTAAAACCAGCTTCAAATTTGATTTGTTTAGAGCAGGTCTAAATTACAGTGGTTGAAGCCACAGCTTGCAATGTATTGGTTTAATGGATTATTTAGGTGCAATTTTTAGAGGGTTCATGCACCTGAGTTTTATTTTAAAGCACGTGCAAAAATACAAGGAAAGATAAAGGGAAAATGAGGCTTCTGGAAAAGAAGAAGAAAGGTCTTGTAGATAGTCAGGAAGCACCTGTTTGGAGAGAGGGAAACAAGTATTTTTCAACTAGGAGGGATTGTTCAGGAGGGCAGGAGTGTCCCAGTATTCTGGGATTAAAAACTAAGAGGAGAGGAATAGCTTGAGACTCATAGAAAAATCACATTCTTATTATTTTGCTGTCTTTTACTACTTTTTTTTTTTTTTTACAAACTGTAGTTGCTTCTATGAAAGGATGAGCCCAAGCAAAAAGTAAGAGAAGTGTGATGGGAAATTCAATAATCCCATTGAAACTAAAACTGCAGCCATAGGAGAAGATTGGAGGTTCACAAAGCAGAGGTTTAACCCTTCCTGAAACCTAGTAGCTACAATTAAACAAAGTGCATAGTTCAGGATAACCTGGCACTGTGAATCTTCCACCTCAGGATAATCTGGACATAACTTG